AACCTGAACCTATGTTGCGGCCAGGCCAGCGTGCTATGATGCACGATGGCATTACCAGATGGCGCGATGACGAGTCAGCAGCCAGGTTTTAATCCTGGATGGAGGCCAGATGGATCAATGATACTCTTTCCTGAAGTCAGCTCGAGTTCCAGTGAATTCAGTGGCCCGTCATGGAAGTTATTAACGTGATTCATGTGGCTGTGTAGCTCGCCTTTCCCCTTGAACCACGCTCGAAGTCGCTCAGGCCTCCGCTGGATATCTTTGGATGAAGAAATGTATCCCTTCGACCACCGCCCTGTGACTCGAGTGGCACTAGCATGTCGCAGAAGAAGGATCGCGAGAAGTTCGAAGTTCGGCGGCGGCTTGCATACATATTTGACGGCACATCGTCGTCCATTTCGAGTCCGTGCCATCCACACTGAGATGGCTAGCATGAAGGTAAGTTATCTTATCAGCAGTGATCACGTAGTCTTGTCGCCTCTCAGTGGCGGCGTCTCAGCGGGCAAGGATGTTGGAAGCCCGTAAATAGGTTGGTACCACATGGTACAATCCCTGCGATAAAAGAGCCGGCAAAAAAGCTGAAATCGAGCATAGCTTTTCGCTGCGGTCAGACTCGGTCAGACCGCGTATGACGGGCTACTCAAAAGATTCATCGGTGAGGCTGAACGGAAGTTCCATTGGTGGTAACCAAATGCACGTTCACAGCCCAATAAAGAGAACTGCAGATTGACCATGTTGTCTAACCGTGAATGATCGAGGATCCAAACCCATTTGCAGGCAAACGTAGGATATGACATGAGAGATGAAAAGTAATTAAACGTGCGATGGAGACGCTTTACTGACACTGACAAAGTCGATCGACAATCATTCAACCATCGGCCAACGTCGTATGGACACCAGGCACCACTACAATTTGAACCGCCTGCGAAGTCGAAGATTAGCATTCATCCAAGGATCGTACACCATAACATAAAAGGATAACGAAACGGAAAGGCTCAGGTGTGCTATAGGTAACTTCATAGCAACTTGTCGAGACAAGTCGCTCGTTGCGATTCTGACAAGAATATATCGTCTTCGCCGTGTATACATAGGACCCGCAGGTCAGCGAATAAAGGATGTTTTACTCACCAAGGTATGCAGTAGCACGATGCACGGCAGCGACTTCATGGGCTTGGCGCCTCGAAAGACATCCACTAGAATCTCAGCTCCATAAGAAACCCCCCGACTTCGAGAGAAAAAGGCGTGTAAAACACATATCATTCACATCATCTACGAATGAAAGGTAATAAACGCAAAACGCATCACAAAACCACAACCAAAAGAAAAAAATGACTGTAACACCTCTGGTAAGGAACTCCACTCCAAGTCCAAACGACCGCGCGCTAACGCGAGAGTGCGCTCCAGCTGAGGCGTCGATGCATCCGTCTAGGACAAGCTGTAGGCTCCTGCGAGCAGGAAAGATATTCGCAGGGGGACAATAATGCGAGTCCGGAAATGAGTGGGGATCAGAAAAAAAAAGTTGGGTGGGTTATAAGGGAGATGGCACGTGATTTGAGTTGGTTGTGTTTGGCGAAGGCTTCTAATGGTCGCGTGTTCTGTCGTCGATCTCTTGAGCTCCCGGTCATCGTGGTTGAGGGCGACTTCGACTCCCCATCCTGGACGCGATGGATAGCGCCGAGTTTCATGCCGCAGTATGTTCTCCTCAAATATCATTGTGTCTTGGTCAAACCGACCATGACGGCCAAGGTTTACGAGACGGTTCGATTGATACCCCATTGTCGAGTGACAAGTTACGGTACGCCCGCAAGCCATCCTCCCACTAAGTACATGGGAGCTTGAACGTGACAAGGACATATCGCGAAACTTATCGGGATGCCTCATCACTCGCGACACGTCGGTCAAGGTGCGTCCAGCTACCCATCATCCCTTCAACGCCCGGCTGACATCGAGCCGGCGCAGCTCTTAAATTCCTTTCACCCGACACGAACCCACCCGTGCCTTGGCACCGCGTAATAGGTGCATCAGGAACAATCTCCTCTCGCGGTCCTGGCACCCAAGGTGCCCAGCGCCAGGGAGGCGCGCTCACGGCTGAGGGCGTTGAGGTAACTGTGGGTCGGACTGGTGATATGAGAGTCGACTTTGCGCAGTGGGGGTGGTTTCCGCAGCCGGGGACGATAGCAGTCGGTGCTGCAGCTCTAGCCGACGCTGAAGAAGAGCCTTCCTCTGATTCAGAGGCTGATGACTAGCTCGTTGCCGCGCAGAACGCCGCATCTGGCTCAGGGTGAGGCGTTTTTGTTGTAGATTGCATTGTGAAGGTAGCGATGAAAGCGGGGTATATACACACAATGAAAGAACCAAAATTTTGCCAATGAGAATTTATTCCACCTTCATCACGGAGCCAATCCTGGCGGCTTGGACACGTTTCCTGAAATCCGACCATATGGGAAAACCAAAGGCCATAGTGGCCAAAAGGTAGGCGGCCTAGGTAAAAGCAGTAAGCAAAGAAGGATGAGGCAGCGAACGAGGGGCGGCTTACACCAGTGAAGAAACCTGTGCTGTGTCTCCGGCACAATACGAAGGTGTACATGGACTCGAAGACGTGTGCTACCCCAATCGCGCCGAGGATGTATGTCACTGGCTTGGGACCAAGAACGGAGTCAACCATTCTCGCAGGTTCGTAGAGGGGCGAGCTCCCATCTTTAGGTGCCAGGTAGAGATATAGGAGGGCGCCGACAACGATCGCCGATGCAAGGGCCTCCGAAGGGAGGCGGAAGGAGGTGATTCGAGGCGTTTTGATCTGCACGATGCATGAGTGTTCCATTGCAGGGGTGGGGGATGGAGTCGTGTCCTATTGTACTCACCATGCCAAGTTTTTCCTGTGCAATGGCCTTCATTTCCAGCAGACGAGGCTTCACGTCATCGTAACCATTCAAGGGCGGTTCAATCGGGATGCGCACTTCCTTCTTAACCCCGGCTTTCATAGTGCACGTTAAGGTCATGCTCTTCGTACGAGTATCCATGCGTGAGTAACTGGGAAACCCGCGTGGAGTAGACTTTACTGACCTTGGAATCGATAGCTGTCATCTCAGCGCTGGTAATGGGCTCCGTGACCTTCCCGAACCATTTCGCATAGGCGACCAAGGTGTCGGGGTGGTTCGACATGTACATTCGCAGGAATCCAGACTTGTCCGCGACGGGGTCAGACATGGTGGTAGGGGTGGTAAGACGAACCTCGGTCCCTCGACCTGGCTGGGACGTTTCATGGCGGTTATTTGATCCCCGTGTCAATGCAGCCCTTCTGACGTAATCCATCATTTTTGGAGGCGGTTTAGGGAAAGGGACTCTTCATCATTCTGACCACGTAGATTCATGGTGTTATGTATGTACATACTTGCTGTTTTACTTAACCAGAGCCCTGCCCAATTCAAACCCCAACGATCGCGACAGACCCAATCGTCCTGGGTCGCGATTCACTTCGCGCTAGTTTCGAAGACGACATGAAGTTGACATGAAGTTACGATCCGTGAAATATACGGTGCGACGTACTTATGCGTCTATAATTTCATTCGTTTCTCCATGTAGTTAGCAAAGGCAGCAGCCAACAGAACGATAGCGTTACGAGCGATGTTCAAGTTATCTTCTGTGTGGCCCAGCAGTGAGGTGCTGAACGGCCCGGCACTGTTCCGCCCTGCTTCCTCTCAGCGTGCAGACTTGGAAGCTTCTTCAACTCCATTCATCGATGCCGGTCGATTCAATGATCGCAGTCAGACGTTGCTGTCCGCTCTCTTCCCCACCCCGTGTACATGCTACCCAAACACTGTCCTAGCCCTAAGCCTACTGTAGAGATGGAGGTGAGTTGTAGTTTTTGTCACTCCAACAAGATTATGAACCACCATAGAGCGCTGCATTCTCGTTCAACTTTGTGGCAGAGATCGAGGACGAAATCTTCGAATGGGCGACGCACATGTTTCCACCCGACGCCGTCTCCTTCTCCGTCGTTTCAAAACGCGTCCAACGACGGGTAGAAGCCATCATGTACGAGACGATCGTATTCATATCATACAACGAAATTTTCCGACTACGAAACATGACCTACGTCGAACGATTCGAGGTCGCCTTGCACTCCCGCCCAGCAGAGTTCTTCGCCGCGCATGTGCGTAACGTCTGCATCACGAACTCCGTGTCAAAGGAAATCGCAACGCTGATACTTGCCAAATGCACTGGGATCCGCAACCTCGCCATTTGGCAGCATCGCAATCCAGTGAAACTGGATCCTGTCGAGGCGATTAGTCCGTTTGCTTCCACGCTCTGCTCGCTTTCCGCAGGGAGATACACCCTCCGTCGGCTGGCTGAGTCTGGATACGTGTTCTCGAGTTTAAAATTCGTGGCGGTGGGCATCCATCCGCTAAATATGGATCTCCCGACCATGGAGTGGCTGCCTGCGTTAAGGACACTACGGATGCGCCTGGGCCAGCAGCCTTTCGATGACGATATGTGGACCCAAGATGTGAAGACAGTAATCTCCACAGCCCCACAGCTGCAAGCGCTAGTGCTGGACGTCGATCAGCAATGCCTTGACGATGTGTGCACTCGAGTAGCGGAGTTCAATGACGAGAGGATAGCGGTGAGGGACGAGTATACTCAATCGGATCCAATTGTGGAGTGGAAGGAGTCTTTTTGGATTTGAGTCCTCATCTACTACTTTTCGATACTATGCTCTCCTCTGTCTTCCACGGTGTACATCCCAGCACACAATTCTCGCTAGATGGCAAGCGCTGAAGTCACTTCGACCCTTTCGCCATGGAGCTGCGCCCGCTTACTTCTGACCCTCGCCTTACAAGAACACTGAGAAGACCACACACCCTTCAACTTCCACGTCAGCCCTGCTCCAACGGTCGACTTAGGGCGAGACCCGCAGACACTATCAGCGAAAGTCTCAATATTCTTAAAAGCTCCTCACCGACGCCGCCGCCGAGGTACCGAGCGTAGGCCACATCAATGCCCGCCTAGCTCAATCGGATAGAGCGTCAGACTCTTAGGCTGAGTACACAGGAATGGCATCTGAAGGCTGCGAGTTCAACCCTCGCGGTGGGCTACTGCAATTAGTTTTTGCGAGCCGCGTCCAGTTTTACACACTTCATTTTTGTCTGTATCTACTGTCTACTTAGCATTCCGGGGGCGAGAAGGCATCGTGATTCGTCATGGTGGAATCGAGGAAGTGCGGATGCGGCAATTCGTTGCTTGCCAGCAAGGGCTCTGCCAAATTGTACATGTTGTGGCAACTTGTGACCGACGCGCCTTGAACGCGTTCAAACATTGCAACCGCGACACATCTTGTCTACTACCAGAAACCGCGCCCGGCATGGTATCATGGATGGAAAATCCGGAAATGGGCCCAGGACCACTTGCATCTAGTACGGTACTGGGCGCCGAGTCGCAAACTTGGGCCATCGCCAGGCGAAGCGAATGTCATGACGTCGCAGCTTCTCGACATGGGGACTCGGACGACGAAGCCGTGCGAACGACGAAGAATGTCTTTCAGGCATATTGGAATGTTCGAATTTGGTGGAAATGGCTCCTCGTGCAGCCCAGGTGCATAACATTTCTATGGAACCCTCCCCTAGCCTACAGAGGCTGTATCCAATCTTTGGCGCAGAAAAACGACATGGCAGCGCCTACTCTGCCGCGGGAAGGGACTATATTCGATGGTGGAGACACTGGTACTGGGGACTTTGGCGTTGATGTACCCGAACTTAAGTGAGACCATATGGACATTATACCTGCTTATGCTAAGATACATCACAGTCACTCGCAACTTATCTGCTCCAGCATCAGTACACTGAAGCCGACGCCCCTGCAGGAGGCATACCGATGGAAGGCGCGGACGCTGACCCGGCTGCGGATCCGCGTTCTGCGGCCGAAGGCCTTATCAGGTGTACCGTCGATGGGAACGTGAGTGGACTATAATTATCGCTACCTCTTCTCGAAACTGATGTCGATTTCCAGAGTGCCGGCGCGTTGGACCCTTGTTCGTCCTTCCTTGCTCCTGTCCCTCAGCGTATCGCCGAACGATGCTTGTGCTCCTGCATCAAAACGATGCATCCGACATCCTCTTCTCAGCGGCTAGCACGAGACGACGGTCGCGTTGATGTTGGACTGCGTTCTAGAGTGGAAAGATCTCGACATGTGGAAGGCGGTACCCAATAAGAGTGGACCGCTTATGGCACGAATTCGGCACTGATTAAATCGTCCGAGCGTGGAAGACATCCACTTTCCAGAATGCATGCTCAAGGTCAGATTGCTCCATCAATAGCCATTTGGGCGTCTGACGGTTGCTCTACTTGTGTTTTCATCTTCAGCTGATGAAGAGTCCGTCGCCATACCTTTCCACGCTTGATTAAGGATCTGTAGGAAGAAAAGGACAGCATACCGGAGCACCTTTCACGCGGGAAATACGATTACGCGAATTCGTCTGAGGAAGGTGAGACCAAATCGCTACATGAAATTGGGGATATGCTTGAAAGCGAGCTCTATTTGCAGGCTCTGGAGGATATTGATGGAAATTCAGTGTAGGAGAAAGAAAGCCGTACGTGAACGAACAACCTTGTTCCTAAGAAACCATTCATCTGCGGTTCGCCCGATAAAACCGGCTATGGAGGGTATATGGGGAATGTAAGCCTGCTCTTTGCTATGGCTTCTGGAATCTGATCTTATTTCGTGATCCTTGCGGTAGCGGTCAGTGTAGATCACTGTGTGTCATCTTTTATTTCTCTCTTTCGTTCCATTTCACCGAAAGCCTGCGTAGGATATTGCAGAAGCGTGTTGTTACTCTGCATGAAGATATTAATCCTCGTGTACTATTTTCTACTGGTGGCGTCTACTACGCGCTCCAGCTCCAAAAGCCGATTGAAGAATCAGTTTCGAACAAATACAACACCTTATGGCAGAAAACCTTATCGATTTCTTACTGCCAAAGGGGCTGTACGAGAAGGACAAAGCAACTGCTACGATCTACCAGCGTACGCACTGAAGTGGAACGAGTTCGACACGTGGAACGCGGCGACAGGACAGATTGGGTCACCTCTGACGAACTTTCACGCTGATAAATTTTCTCGAACCTGGAAGTATTCACGTCCGAAGGGGTACGGCCGAGGTAAGAATCATCATCCTATTACCTGCCTGAACATGACCTAATTGCGGCTTGACGGTCCTTCAGTCTTGACAGATAGTGCAGAGCACTACGCACTTCGGCGATCGGATTAATTTCATTCAATGTTTAAGTATTGCAACACACGTCCTCACAAGAGAAGCGGTTTGTCGGAAACTAGGCGGAAGAATATTCGAGACGTATTTCCGCTTCTTGTTTCCTTCGCAAGGATCGAAGATCATGCCCTCGAGGCCATCGGCTGGACGAGAGGAGGGGCATTCCTTTCGCAAGAGTCGGTACCCACTCATGTCGCCTGCTTCCAGCTGGCGTTCACGACCTCGCCTGGTACACACTTTTGCTGCGGAGTTCCTGGAGTCTTTGCGCGACGATAGAGAGAGCATTCCGCGTCGACGACTGCATCAGAGGTCCCCAACTAAGCTCCGGTCATTACTCATCTTTAGAACCTGACGGAACAGCTTCTGGATGTTACTGTGGCACAAGGGGACTCTATCATCACATGGCCAAATTTGCCACGTACTAGAGCGCGGTCCTGACAGCGACAAGCTCCGATGTCGCAGGAGAGGAACCTCAAACGTGTTATCGACCTTGTCAAACTTTGTCCGCGCACCCGGTACGCGGCCTCTTCCATCCAATGAATTATTCCTTCTACTTCTCAAGGTGGTCTATGCTTCTGCGTCACAGAAATTCCAGACGTTGTCCATTCCTCTGATATCACCTCTTCAGAATATTATGCGTAGTAAGAAAAGTCAAAAGCTCCTCATTGGATCCTATCTGCGTGATGTTTCAGGAGCGCAGGGACGAAACCAGAGAGGGAAGGTCCGGAGAGTCTGATGTAATTGCGGAAATTGCGCCGATGTGGGCTCCGTCTCGAGCAAGAAAGAAACAGGAGACATTTCGCATCGCCTCCATCTCGAAACACGCCTTAGCGTTTCAACAGATCTTCTCACCTTCGTGAAGGTGCGGAGCAGTGGGCCACATGGAGTCACCGTCACGAAAGGACCCGAGATCTTCCCTTCTCTCCATATGTCCGCTCGTATGGCGAAGGCGATGGCGTTTTCAAGGACCATTGGCGATGATAACTCCATATCCTAGCTGACGGAAGATTGCTATAGCGATGCGCTGAAGGCTTGACCCGACCGCAGCACTTCGCCCTCACTGGAGGTGACACGGCCAATTACCAAAGTTTTACCGCCATTTCGCAAGATCCTTCAGCCCTGCTGGTAGTCGCCTTCTTCATCAGCGCAGTCAGCCGTGCTGGCAAATACTTCCCCCCTAGGCAAGGAAAGGAAAGAGAACTCCGTGGTAAATTTAGGCGTCAGTGACCTCACAGGCGAAGATAGCTTTTGACCTACTCTTGACTGGGCTCAGAGAGGATTTATCGGCATTGTCGGATTGACGTCGCCCTACGGCGTACCATCGGACCTCACTACAAGGAACGTACCTCGCTGTGTATATGTATCACCCGACTCCTACTACTGACGTATTGAAGAGCTAGGTGAGAAGCTGCCTGGCATTATAATTTGGAATGATCGGAAGGGAGTAAAACGTCCGGTCTAGCTATACAGACACGGCGTCTTCAAATTGACTGGCGATCCCCAACTCCTAGATGTCCTTCGGCTAGGTCTACGGAACTTGAAATTTGGAGGCAAAATGTTGAAATCTTAAAACCTTTTCCCACTGTTCCCTCGTCCAAGCGCGTAGCCGAAGGCAGCCTAGCCAATCGGTGGCTATCGCTAGCGTATTCGATCGAACCCTGAAGGAGGTTTTCTGGTCCGTCGAAGTATTTCAAATATTATCCGAACGTCGCCATGTACTGCAGCTCGCCAGTGGAGTCGTCCATGGTTCTGACCGATGGCGATCTCTTGCATGTCCCCTCACGTCTACCCAGGGTTGAGGACCTGTTCTATTCTCGGCCACCTGTCATAAAAAATAGGGATCATTCTCCATCTTCCATCAGTAATTGTGGGCTGGCGCGAACACCACCCACATTCACAATCACGTTGTAGGCCCTGATGTTCGATCCGCCTCGTTCCAGCCTCTCGTATGGCACATTGCTGCTTGGCATCAGTGGTGGCATACGGGAATCGCGGACGCTCTCTGAGAACAAAAAGAAACCTTCACATGTACTAGGGATATCTTTCGCACACCTAACAAGTGCGCGTCAACGTCTGACTCGACGTCAGTGGTCGGCGGTAGCGGTTCATGACATATTCAAGGGCCGGACTCCTCGGGTCGGGCATGGTAGAATTAATTAAGGTCGGCGAGTCCTCGTCCGACTCACCGCAGCGGTCTTGTGGGAACAGCAAGTTGTCCCGTCACCGTACGTCCCCTTTTTCTCTCAACCATACAGCAGCCCTGATTTAAGGATATTTGCAGGTCGCGAAGATGCCCACGTAAATTCACCTTCTAACTGGTGATCAGTGGCTGCCGAGCACTAGACTCTACAGCGCCTACAATGTTGGCTGATAGTGGCTGTTTGTGTTGATAAACAAGTTCAATCTCCACCCACCATCGACACTTTATACACATCACCATCCCACTGCACGTCCCATGTCATCTCAAATGCCGTCTCTTACCCAATCTATCGAAGCTATGAGTGTAAGTTTCTCTCTTCCTACAGCCTTTTTCTTCAGGTATGCTCATGATGATCCCACTGGCAGTTACAACAACCCCGAAACCCAACCAAAGCTACCAACACGGCCATTCCAGACCAAATCAACCTCTCAGTCCCCCGTCGCACACCCGCCGCGAAGAACCACCACATCCTGTACGGGTTTGCCGTTTCCGACGAGTGGCTCGTCAACTACTGCGACCAGAACGCCCACCGCATCATCGACTACGATCCAGAACTCAGTTCAGGAAGCAAGGTCTACCTCGCGTTGAAACTTCTAAGATTGTATTCACGATACAAGGCTCTGAGGGTCGTA